TTATTTGAAACCAAAACCTTCAAGTTACTGAATCTATAAATATTCCTTTTGATATTATTCTTGAAACTTTTAAAAAATCACTTTTAATAATTACTACTGTTCTTTTTGAACACTCCAATTATCCAAAAATATTTAACTCATACCTTTTTATTCCTCCTTACTCTATCAAGAAACGATTCCAAATTATTATTAACTTGGCCAGACTTCACCTTTTTCTTTCTAATCATTATCAAACTATTGATCATCAAAAAATTTTTCAAGATTTAAAACTCAAACCATTTTATCTATGTACTTTCTTTCATATCAACCATATCAAAGATACAAACACAGAAACACCTATATTACAAATTCACAACAATCCTAAATTTTACATTAATATTTCTATAAATAATCTTAACTGTGTGATTTTATTATATTTCTTTATTAATTTGGCTATTAAATTCTATAGTAGTTAGCTAATATATTGCAAGATATAGTATTAGAATAATCTTTTGATTTTAATACAATGTATATTTGTTGTAGATATCAAGAAACTAAATTCTGTTATAGAAATAATTTCAATGAAATTATTGAAATAAAGCAATATAGTTATTAAAATCAGATATTCAGTATTCACCTATTAGTTTTCAGAGCTGTATTAATAATTTTAAACAATATAATAGAAATATTAAAAAATATAAGTATTATTACTATCTATTTAGAAAACTTTTAAGTGATTAATTATTTAACTTATACTTTTGTTAATCTTTAATCTACTTCTAAATTTACTATCTTATATTGTAATACTATAGTATATAATAAAGTTATTACTCTTTTTGTTAATAATAGATCTTTTAAAAGTATTTTTTTTCTTATATTTTTAGTAAACTAGATATTAAGATAGAAATATTTTCTATAATTAATATAATTAATATATGGGTTTAATAATTCAATGCATCTGCACAGGGTGCACCTGTCACGTGACTGCGGTAAGTAGCTTTATTTAATTTTATTTATATTTATAACATAAAATATATATTTATAATTTACTAATAAATATTAAACTATAATTTACTACGTATGTTATACCTGTTATTGCCTCAAATTGAGCACTATCATAACCCTAATCGAAATATTAATAAGAAAACTCTAACTCTAATCGAACTAGCCCTCATCATTAATAATAACAACCTCGAACTAATACTCATCATTAATAATAAAAGCAACCTAACCTTTATCGAACTAATGCTCAACACTAATAGGAACAACCCTAATTCTAATCAAACAAATATGCAATATTAATAAAACAACTCTAATTGAACTAATATGCAGAACTAATGTGCAATGTTAATAAAACAAAGTTAGTACGTAATATGATACATTATACAGACAATCAAATTAGTTATGTTGTAATTCATTTCAATTCATACAAATAAAAGCAAAGATGAATTCACAAATACTAAGATACTAGAATAGTACAAGTTTGTAGTATGTTGCAGTTCAATTTTGATCTATGAGCTTTTTAGAACATGTAGCAATATTATGACCTGATTCTTTGCAGTAACTGCAAAGATTCGGGCGCTTTTGCTTACTGTTATTATGTGTCAAATGTTGATTTATATTATCTTTATGATGGCTGACTAATTTCGGCCTACCCTTAGTGGCAACCTTTAGCAGATTTTTTAGCTGAACATAAGAGGATATGTTTTCTTTGTTGGAATTGCTTTTTAAATCTGCTATATTTTCTTGGATAAATTTCTCTTCACGTTTATACACTTTAGCCAAATAATTTTTGATCATCTTAATAAAATCATGATCCTGATACTGTAAGCATTTGTCAGTTACAGTATATACTAAACCCCACACTTTTCTATAAAACAGTTGTTTTTTTATGAAATTTGTTTCTATGTTATCTTGCTTGTGTATATTATAATTTTGAAGAGGCAACTCATCATAATTCACTCATTCATTATCTATAAAATGTTGCCCAAAATATTCATATTCATTTAATATATTGATATACTTATTTCAGAGAATCTATCAGATATTAATTAACTTTATACTAAACTGTGCTGTATCCGTAATATTCAAGAGATAAAAGTAGTACTAGCACACAAGTCCTAATCTTTATTGCAACAAAC